CCTTTGAGTGCGGAGGCATAGCACTCCCTCGAAGCGGTCTGTTCTCCTCGGACTGTGCCCACGCCACTGGGGGTGGAATACTTCAAAATTTGATGAAGTGTTGAGGGAACGGCCCAAAATGAGTGGATGATGGGTCTCCCAAAGATGGCGTTATAGGCCGATCTACCGTCAATCACCACGAACTCGGCCATTTGGGTGACCTGAGTTTTGTCTTGCCCAAATGTGACCGGCAAGTCGATGCAACCTTCTGGGATKACCGATTCTCCAGAGAACCCAACTAGYGGTGTTGGGCTTTTCTTCAACTGCGACCTTGTCCATCCTAGGGCGTGGTAGGTCGGTAGGGACAGGATATTAGCAGATGCGCCCCCGTCTACTAGCACCCTTCTGACCACCACATGATCAATCAAGGGAGCGATCACAAGTGCATCATTGTGGGGCAGGTGGACCTCCTCCAAGTCTGCGCTGTCGAAGGTGATTGGGCAGGTCGGCCTCTGCTCCCTGATGATGCACACCTCGCGCCTGGCTGCACGAGCTAACTCCTTTCTTTTATGTCCGGACTGGCCCCCGCTTGGCCCTCCGAAAATGGTGTTGATGACCGCAGGTCGATCAGTGCACCGGGACGGCGTCCGCGAACGCTTCCTATCTTCCTTTTTTTCTGCCGAGCTGGTCCCGGGCTTCCCCACAAATTTCTTGAAGTATCCATCTTGAATTAGATCCTCAATTTGGCGCTTCAATTCCCAGCAATCCGACGTGTTATGGCCGTGCTCCCGATGGAAGCGGCAATACTTGTCCTTGCTGCGCCTCTCCGGGGCTCCCCGAAGCTTCTCAAGGCGTTTGAGGTGTTTTTCCATTCCAGACTCCTCGATGTTCGTTAGGATCTCGGAAATTGGAATCGTGGTCGGGGTGAAGCGTTCGTAAGGTCGGCTCCTGGTAGGTCTGTTCTCCACCCTTCGATACTCAGCTCGGCCACTGGAGAAGGATCCCTTGTCCTTGGACTTGGGATCTGCCTTTTCTATATCTTTTCCACTTCTGCCCCGGCCGATCTTTCGTTCTGGTCGGCCGGTTTTGATTCGGAGGAGCTCCTGTCCATCGATGACTTTCTTCGCCTTCTGAAGCACTTCGGCGAAGGTGGTCGGGGCCTCCTCTCCAAGCTTCACCGTGAGGGCTTCGTCGGCTAGACCGGTGAGAAAATAGCACATGGCCGAGTCATCGGCCCTCATACTTAGCACCTGTCAACGCTAGTGGTGGTAATCTCGRCGGTTCGAGCTGGGCATGACTCATGAGTCATCTTGGAGCACCAATAGCGGTCCTCCACGTGTCCAGGGTATTCTTTTCTCCAAACAGAGATTAACTTCAATTCAATTGCTTAGACATATACAATGACTGTTTTTCATTGTTGTAGTCATTTTTATTCTTTTCAAAAGCCTATTTCTCTTATTGAATAGATTTGTTTCTTATACTTTTGAATACGTTACTATTTGGAGGTTCAACAATGTTCAAAGACTTCAAGAGAAGGTTACGTAGCGACTTGAAGAAGATTGTGGATGGCCAGATCCTTACTTCTGAAACTAGACTAGGAGGGAAAGCAAGAAGATTGTGGATGGCCAGATCCYTACTTCTGAAACTAGACTAGGAGGGAAAGCAAGGTGATAATTATTATATGACCATTATTTTGATCTGATTATGATATTATATGTTTTTAACTTAACCCACATCAGAAATTACTTTCCAATTATTATGCTTTTTTCTTGATAAATTTCTATATAGATTACTGAAAAGTAATTCCCACGGAGTTGTATATTTTTTCTTGATTTTGTTACATCCAATCTGGAATTTGTTAAAGTTTACAAGAGTGCTTAAATTGAGAGTTTGTTAGTTTAGCCCAATTGGTTACTATCATTGGTATGGTTTGTTAAATTTTAAACATTTTTTTGTGGACAAGTGTCCTACATAATCTTGGTAGAGTAAATTGACGTATTCTCAATTTATGCTTACTCACGCCCAAACAAARCCYGATCTGTGATACCAATACCTTATTTTCATCAAATCTACAAGTCTCAAAACTTTTGCCATCGTTTCAGTAAGGTTTAGTGGGTAACGACCCTTTGAACACCCTTTTAGATTCAACTTTAGTAGCCAAAATTGAGTTGTAACATGCTGATTTTACCTTGTTGCCTAGGTTTCAATTCGACTCAAGAAGTTAGGAGCGTTTAGGGGAGTTGTAAGTAGCTCTTACTTAGAGGGATGTTTGTTGTGTGCTTAGTATGAATGACATGTTTTAATTTATGTGTTTGATCTCTTAATGCTCGTTGGATATTGATGCTAAATGTTTCTCTATGAATGTTGGATGTTCTAGATGGCTATGATTGATTCTAGTTGTTTATAATTGTTTGATTATGCTTTGTTATGACTACAATCACTATAAAGCATTATATTTTTCTGGTCAAGTATATATGCATTATGTTTATGCAAAAAATATGACAGGGTATGACCTGATCAAGGTCAGGGAAGAGCTCGACCTGCTCCAGGTATGACCGTCGGGAGAGCATGACCTGCTTTTCAGGTATGACCACGGGAAGAGCATGACCTGCTTCAGGTATGACCGTGAGAAGAGCTTGGGTTTCCTTGAAAAGGGATGACCAGCTCAAAAGGTCAAGGTTGGTTGACTGGGATGAGCTGGTGTCAGGAATGAGCTRAAAGGTCACTTGACGAGGARAGACCTGCACAAGGGAACAAATACTCCAACTCTCAAGTCAGTTTTGAGTCCGACCTTAGTATGGAGGCCGAGCTAGAATAAGATACCTGRCTGAAGAGTGAAGTGCCCTATTTATAGGCTGAGGTACCCGACAAGRAATCCGACCGGCAGTTGAGCATGTCGGGACCAAGGTCGGCCTGTCGAGGGTAGGTATTCCAGTTCATACTCTTGTCATCTGGAATTTGACTAAGTATAGAAGGTCATTCCCCCCTTGAATGATCTTCAGGGAAGACCTTCAGATCGGCCTTTAAGGAAGGCCTYAGGTCGGYCATTAGGCAAGGCCTTCAAGTCGGCCCTCAGGGGAGCTCTTCAGGTCGGCCCTMAGTGGAGCTCTTTAGGTCGGCCACGAAAAGAAAGATTTTCAKGTCGGCCACTTCAGGTCGGCCAACAAAGGGAAGACCTCCAAAGTTGGATCTTTTTCTGTCCTCCACGTGGCAATACGATTTTCAACCCCCAAACACATTACATTTTGAATGAAAATAAATAGTTATTTGTTTTGTCAAAATGTTTTCTTTTTGGCAAGACAAATTAGCAAAATGATGATATTCAAGTGATTCAATCAAAGAAGATCAATGAAGTGCAGTGGCAATGGCTAAACAAATGGCTACTTATAACTAACTTCTTTAATGTTAAGAACTTTTCTGTTATGCTTGCTAATTGTTGGAACTATTTGCTTGTTTATGGTTGTGATATTTGATGATTTNTTTTCTGTTATGCTTGCTAATTGTTGGAACTATTTGCTTGTTTATGGTTGTGATATTTGATGATTTGATCTCCAAATAGCTAACGATTTGAACTACTTTTCTTGTGTATAAGTGTACAATATTGGGATKTAGCTAGATTTTTCTCAAGACCTTGTTTGTTAAAAATCTCGAATCAAAACTTRTATTTATGTGTAATATTTTTCATTAAATTTTATTGTCGCAACGTCATCGCGACGCKGAGCGACCGACGTCATCCCCTGACGAGTCTCTTTCGAGATTAGGGTTTGRAGTTGCTACCAATCATCTACAAGGTGTGATTGGTCACCTATTTAAAAAAAAAACTTAGTCTATGAAAATAGAATTTTGGTTCGGGAATTGGTTGAGCATAGGGAAGGTGTTAGCACCCTACGACACCCGTTCGAAAACGATACCATATTTTTGGTAAAACAAATTATAAATTTAATTTGAGGGCCGCAAGGATTCAAACTTGAGCTATGAGTATTATTAATATCCAAGTGTCTTGCCAATGTGCCAACACCTTAGGATGCAACTTAAAATTCTTGACTTGAACTTGTAACATAAGACTCAATACCCAATTTTTKTGCTGCTATGCCATACACTAAGATATGTTATTTAGAGTATTTTTAAATAACAAAGTTTATTTTCGAAATTTGTATTAAAAAAAAGAAAAAATATATTAACGAAAATTTAAAAAAAAAAACTTTTATTTTAGGGATTTGAAATTCGTTTTAAAAAAAAAGAATCWCCTATTTAAAATCAAATTGGTTTTAAAAGAAATCTTATTCACTTTTTCCAAAACTTAAATAAAAAATCTTTACTTACTTTTTAAAAATATTATTTAAAACGTAAAACAAGATCTTTAAAAAAAAATCATACTGGAAATAAGAAAACAAATCTTACTATTTTCAATAAAAATTTAAATTTTAAAAATCTTTTATTTTCTTTCCTTTAAAAAAAACTTTGTTCTTTTTAATAAAAAAAACTTTATTTAAAAGAAAAACTCTTTCCAAAACAACGTTTGTTTAAAGCTAAAAGTTCCTTTTTTTCTATTTCCGAACTCACCTTCTCCCCTAGACAGTTTTAAACAGAGGTTCCCGCAATGTTGTGGGTTGATGAGGTGTATATCCGAATGGGTTCGCCGAAATTAATTTGTGCCATTGCCAGAGTTGATCGTGGTCGAAGGTTGTCGGTGTAGGTGAAGAAGAAGAGAAGATAATGGTAAAAAAAAAAAGTGAATGATTTGATTTTTTCTCCTCTCTATCTGGGTTTTCTCTGTTCCTCCTCTCTACTGCAGTCCTCTTTAAATACACCTAAAGATAACGGTAAAAAAGAAAAGAAAAGGCAAGAGAAGAGAGAAAAAGAGGGAGGAGAAGAAGGGAAGGGAAGGGAAGGGAGAKGAGGCCACGTTAGAGAAAAAGAAGGGGAGTAAAAGGAGAGGAGACCACGTAGGTGCCTTTGACGAGGAAAAAAATCCAAGAGGAAAAACCGTTAAAAATCAAAAGTTTTGTTAAAATAAAATGCTTATTTAATTAAAACAAAATCTTTTTAAAAGAAAATTATTTACTTAAAAACAAATCATTTTTATTTATCTATTTTTTATTTTAATAATAAAACAAAATCTAAAGAGACCATTTTTTTTTATTTTTTTTATTAATAAAATTAAACATTTTAATAAATCTTAACATTTTAATTTTAGTTAATTTAAACTTTATATTAAAACTAATAATAAAGTAAACCTATGTTATTCTTTAATTAAAATAAAACTCAATAAAATAAAATACAATAATATAAATTAAAATTAAAATTAAAAATAAGTCGGACCAAATATGGTGTCTACATTAATTATAATTGAGTTTTCRCAGATGTGGAGTATGCATTATATCGAGTTCCAGTTCTTCCATTTGGAGTCTTTTCTTTGACCTTGGTTTTTTGTATTTTGTATAATGGTCACCACTGGAAAGTCATAAGTTTCAGAGAAGGTTAAGTGACCACGTCTTTTCTTGTTTTTATTTTTGCTTTCTTGACTTCGGGAATTTTCTCTTCTGCTTAGGTAGAAATTGGTATCATTACAAAATAACAATTTCTTATTAATTAGTATGACCAAAGTTCATTAATCTATATATTTTTTCATGCTTATATTTGATTGTACTTGATCTCATACCGGAGGTAAAAAATGCAATCAACATTTTGGTAAGTGCAGAATTTTCAATTATGAAGTTCTATTTGTGGAAAAGTTGGTAACTTTGTTTTTCTGTTTGGTTGCAGATGACTAGAAAKAACAGTGGAGTTGTACACTCGTCATATGTTTGAAGTTTGTTTTTATATCACTCATCTCATCATATGTATGAAGTTGTACACATTTATGTTGGAATGAATAAAAAAGCTTTACGATGTTATTCGTTTACTAATTTTCAACTAACTGCAGTCTATTAAGAACATGGCTTTTTGTAACTTGCTTATCATTGCATTATATGACAGAGACCGGTAATAAAGATTTCAAGATTGACATTAGGAACGAGAAGTTGCCAAGTTTCTCCCGCCTACAATCTAYGATCCCTCGGGCCCTGCAACCTCGAATTAGGGTTTGACTACGGAGGTTCTGGAATCATCTTCACGACTATAAGTAGCAGTGAGATCCAACCTTGAGGGGGTAGGTGACTAATCCTTAGCTAATTATTTTCTCAACTCTCCCTCGCTAACTTAAGCATCGGAACCCGTG